TGCAACAGTGAGGAGAAGACGCTGGGAAGCTGCTGGCCTTTAGGCAGAGTCTCACAAATAAAGTTTAATCTGAAACTTAAATAAGCAAATAAGAAGCTGTCCTGTTGTGGGAACCGTTCGATCGCGAGGCCAGTGAGAAATGCCTTAAAAGCCTATAACACCTGTGGGAAGTGCTGCAGAAAGCATGAGATGAAACATCAGCTGAATTTGTTAATTTAATTTGATGCATCCTTGCTGAACATGCATCAGATACTTTTGAAAACTTTGACGGTGATCCCAAACTTTTGAACGGGAGTGTACATATGTATGCAGAGACAATTACATTGAGGTTTGATAGATACTTAATAGTTGCAAATTATTATAAAACAGACTTCTGCGTCTTTACATGTTCATTAAGATCCACAATATTCATAAAGAAGAATGAGATGTTGACAGGAATGGGTGTATGTTTTATCGTTTGTGTAGACACAGACTCATCCAGTGGATTCAGGCCCAGAAATGAGTGTTATAAACTGATCAAAACTGATGTTTCATTACCAAATCACTAAATTGGAATTTCAGAGTGTTTTTCCTGACTTGATTTAGTAGTCATGTAAAACAATTTATGCAAGAGGGTAAACCTGTCAAACATGGATGGCATGTCAATTTGTCAGTGTTTACTGGAAAGTCATGAAGACACAGGATGATAGTTGGTCTAAATGATTTGCAGATTTGAAGTCTGTAGCACATAAATTATTAGGGGTTCGGCTGTCAGCTGGTCTGTGACTGTGTAACCGGAACACTGTTATTGAACCAGTTTACCAAAAGTGGGACAGAGAAAAGTACTGATTCTATAGAATATATTTGGATGATTTTTCTTTTTCTTCTTATAAAGGAAGGACATATACAGTTGATCAAAGGTGACAGCAAACACATTAATACATTTGCAAAAGATTTCTATTTTAAATAAATGCTATTTTCTAGTCATCAAGAATACTGATAAAAATGAATCATGGTGAATCGATTAGAACAATTAGGCAGCACTGTTTTCAACACTGATAATAATATCAATGTTTCTTGAGCAAATCAGCATAGAATGATTTCTAAAGGATCATGTGACACTGAAGACTGAAAATTCTGCTTAGCCATCACAGGAATAACAGATAGAAAACTGTTATATTAAACTGTAATGATATTTCACAAAATTACTCTATTTTTGATGAAATAGATGCAGCCTTGTTGAGCTTCTTTTATAACCATTAAAATAGCTTACTGACCCCACACTTTTAAATGATTTTTTGTTACTTTTAGGAGCTTCAGGTTCATTTTCGATGGAAAATATATCAGGATTTGTCTTGTTTGGGGATTAATTACGGTAGCATATTAGTGTAACCTTGACAATTTCACATTATAAAGCTAAATTATGTTTGTAATGGTAAAGTAAGACTATGCTAGCTTGTGAGTATTAATGTTTCTTAATAGCACATTTGCCCTATAAGAAACATCATTGTCCAAATGCTCATATTACATAACACTTTTTGCAGGGATCGGGAAGGTGAAGCAGAAAGGCTGTATGCGAGATTTGCCCTCCAGCGCAGAGAGATACGACTGCGATGAGCGACTGTATGACCTCAATCTGCCTGCGCTGGTGAAGTTTAACTACACCGCAGAGCGGGGCGATGAACTGTCTTTGGTGAAGGGCACAAGGGTCATCGTCATGGAGAAGTGCAGCGACGGTTGGTGGCGAGGAACCGATAATGGCCATTCTGGATGGTTTCCCTCCAATTATGTCACAGAGGATGTGGACGGGACAATGAGGGCCGACTCCATGAGTTCTCTTACAGATAGACTGACCTCTGTGGGGCACAATAACAATGGCTCTCAGGTTCTGCAGACTGTACAGGCGCTTTATCATTTTAGCTCCGGCAATGCCGAGGAGCTGAATTTCAACAAGGATGAACTTATGGATGTGCTGGAGAAACCTGAGAACGATCCTGAATGGTGGAAGTGTAGAAAGGAAAATGGGCAAGTGGGTTTAGTGCCCAAGAACTATGTTACTGTTGTACAGAAAACACATAGAGAACTGGGGATTTCAGGACCACCTACTACAAACTATGACATTAAGCCTTCTATGGATGGAACGTTTGGAGGAAAACCATGGTACTATGGCAAATTGACACGACATCAGGCTGAGATGGTATTGAACCAGAAGGGAGTGGATGGTGACTTCCTCATCAGAGATAGCGAGTCTACGGTAATTCAATTTAATTGAAACTAACGAAACAATTATTTTATTTTATTGTCTATAACCATATAACCAGATTCTGGTGGTATACATGACATTATGCATTTTAGTTCACAAAAAATACATACAAATATTTGTGCAGATTTACTCAACTTTAGGACATCAAAAACGTAGATGAGTTTGTTTGTTCATCAGATTTGTAGAAATTAAGCATAGATAGATTGTCTGCAGTGAATGGGTGCCGTCAGAATAAGAGTCCAAAAATCTGATAAAAACATCATAATAATCCACAACCTAACTCCAGTCTATCAATTAACGTCTTGTGAAGTGAAAAGCTAAAAATACAAAATAGCTAAAATATGAGTCCTCTGTCGATAATATTGCTTTCTCCTGTGAATAATTGTCTCATCTGAATCAGGAGAGAAATATGCACAGATCAAGCACCATTTACAAGAGAAAACAGTGCCGTTCTAAACAAATAAGTTTTGATTTTGATGTGAGAGGACAACAGGGTATGGAATTTTTCACAGAAGGAAGCATTGTTATGGATAATGGACTCATATTTTTTTCCAGAAGTAACAGTTTAAAGTTAAAACACATTAATGATGGATTTGTTTCTTACAAACATGCAGCTTTTCACTTCACAAGATGCTGTTTGGACTCTCATTCTGACGGCACCCATTCACAGAGGATCCATTGAGCAAGTGATGTAATGCTAAATGTCTCCAAATCTGTCCCAATGAAGAACCAAACTCATCTACATCTTGGATGGCCTGAGGGTGAATATTTTTCAGTAAATTTTCATTTTTGGGTGAACTATTCCTTTAAGTATAATTTTCAAAGTATAATTAGACTGTGCAGAAAGTCACAAACATTTTCGTTTGTGCTTTCTGCTGAACACAACTTTTCATTTTTTACTTTCCAGCCAAACGACTTCTCCATCTCTCTGAAGGCGGTGTACAAGAACAAACATTTCAAGGTGCAGCTAAAAGATGGACTCTACTGCATTGGTCAGCGCAAGTTCGGCTCCATGGAGGATTTGGTGGAACATTACAAAAAGGCTCCCATATTTACCAGTGAACGTGGAGATAAACTGTACCTGATTAAAGCATTAACCTGAGCCTATTAAGAGCTACAGACTCTGCAACATTTAACCCTATCTGCAACAACATGAAACTAAGTTGACTGTGCATTGGGATAGTGTGAAAACTCATTTGATTAAATGTTTAAATGTAGATGTTAGTGGCTTTACAAATACATACAGTGAAGATGTGTTTGCTTCAGCATTGCTCCAATTTAGGATATTCAGCAAATTGAAATGCAAACTCTAGTATATATCAGGATGATAAGCTATGATAAGCTGTAATTGTACAGCTGTTCCAGTGCAGCAGTCCAAAAATCATTTTCTTACTGGCCCTTTGCATGTACTTTATGTTCATACTGTAGGCTTATTGTGATTGTTCAGTTTTGAAGTGGTAAAAGTGTTAAGATGCTTAAAGTGGAGAATGCATCATTCTAAATGAATTATCACCGCAATTTCAACCTGTCATGACTTGTCTTGCTATGTTGTTCTTTTGCAAGTGCCAAAACTTTCCTTACAATCTACACCGAACTTTTACGGAGACTATACTGTCAGAGCTGAATCTTTGTTAATTTTCTTGCTTAACTACTAATTTGCAATTGTACCAACTTGTATACTGTGAATGTTGTTTCCTTCCACAATGAACTTTTAGTTTTCTTTTACTTTAACACTTCTTGATAAATGTAACTTTTAATAATAAATAAAGTATTATACATACTAGTTTGCCTTTTTATTAAATGCATTTACTGTAGAGATACTCTGCATCACACATTTTTTAAATCAACATATATATCTATATATCTATAATATATAAGCTATACCACAAAACATCCAAAGAAACCAGTTTTATTGTTTCTGGCTCCCTCGTTAATTTTATAGACCCCGAACATCAATCAAGACACAAGAGGAATTGAATGGTAGAAAGAAATAAAATGATGTACAATTAAAACAATTTAATTAAAGCATTTAATAAGATCTGTAGCCCATTTACAATTTAGAGATAATTCCTTACTGAATCTTTACTGGTTTCAAATTGATTGATTTCTTCATTAAAAAGTGTTGTGTTTATGAACCTGAGACAAAAGGGGGTACTGCAGCACCTCAGCACCCCAATACTTCCTGCACCCTTGACATCACACAAATCAAAAGATTATACTTAACCAACTAAGAAAATTAAATGTTACACACATTTTGTTTTTAAATTTACGGTTACCAACACACTATCTGCAGGCCCTTACAATCATCCAGTAAGCAAGCCAGCATAGGCCTACATAACCAAAACAATGCATGCAATCAAAAATCCATTGCACATGACACTAGTAATGTAATGCTGGAACCGGGCCTGGGTAGGGAATTATAAATCACCCAAGAGGAGTCGTATTTTAGCTGAAAGCAATTCAGTCCAAAAAAATGGATTTGTTTACTACAAACACACAGCTTTTCACTTCACAAGACTGGAGTTATGGATTTTTGGGTGTGACATATTCCTTTAATTCGTTGTTGGCTCTGTCTGTTGTTGTGGGAAACTGGGGAAACTGAGTTGATTTAAAGAATTTAGCTTCAAGATAATTTTCTTTATGTTTGTTATGTTTTATTATTATTATTATTATTATTATATTTTCTTTTTTTAGTATGTGTGCGGTAAGGGTATAATTCTGGTCCACACTCCAACACAGTAGGTGGTGATAATGCGTCTTACTGTTGACGCCACCCGCCAAAAAACCGAGGAAGAAGAAATAAGCAGTTTCAAAACACTCGCGCCGCTGACAGACGTCACCGATACTTGTAATTAAGATTTGACATAGCCTATGAACTACAATAAACCCGTATAGCACTGTACTATTAATCGCTCATGTAGCATTTGGATTTAGGTCCGTTTGCAAAACTAGAGCACATTTTTATCGTAGTGGAGCCTACTCGGGAGGTGAGTGTGGCCTGCAGCTAAACAGTTTAACTTAATCCGTCTTCGCTTGTTGTGACCAGAGTTCATTCTAGTTGAATTAAGCGGTTTACTATTAATGTTACAATTATATGACATTTTATATAACTAAACGTCCTGACTCTGTTTCATTATACATTCGAACGGGGCTTTGTTTTTCTGGTTAGGACAAAGTGGCACAGTGAAGGTTCGTGTTTGTGTTTTAATCGCAGCCATGCAGTCATCAAACAAATCAACAAACATCAATCCCCGCACTGCTGCTCTTCCTCACAACCCCTCCACCTCGCCACGATACGGTAAAAACAAACAACAGCTGTCAAATTCATTTGTGAAATTAATAATATTTTTGATGTTCCCATCCCTAGTCAACTATAGTCCAAAGCAAAAGCTGCTACACTCTAGTACTCTACTGAATTGATGTCACCTCTAAAATGACTTTTCCTGCTGTCATCCATCATCAGCCTTCATAGATTTCCTGGATGTGGGCGGCACAATGACCATATCCCAAGAAATAGCAAATTTAACAGAGGATTCAGGGCAGGACCTGCCAGAGGAGAATGTTCATATTGGATCAATTCAAGGCACAGTTGTTGGTCTGCGCTACTACACTGGAACGGTAGGAACACACACACACACACACACACACAGATAGATAGAAGGAAACTGAACTGATTTCACTCAGAAAAAAATAAACATTTTCCACACAGCTACATGTCTTGGATCAGGTTTGTTTAATGAAAATTTACATAATTTACAAGACTGCAGTATTATTATGTATTGCAGATCAACATGTGCCATTAACTATTTTCTCCCTCCATCTCTACACGCTTAATTCTTCTGGTGTACTTATCACCTGACAGGAACAGGTGATCTGCACACCTGTCCCACCGCACAGTGTATATTGCCCTCTATCGGTTAAAGTAAAACTGAATAATTCTATCATTGATTTAATCTCATTTGATAACCAGAATATTGTTTGACCTTGGCATGTTGTAGGTCAATAGAGGAGAGATGGTGTCCTTGGTGAGGCAGCCGCAGAATCCCTATGACCGAAATGCAGTGATGGTGGCCAATGTGTATGGAAGTCAGGTGGGGCACATCAAGAAAGAGCTGGCAGCCCCGATGGCCTACATTATGGACAACAATTTGGCCAGGGTGGAAGGGTACAGTAGTTTCTCAGTCTTTTCTACAGATTTGTTGGATATGTTGTTTTTATTGCAAATTCATTGCAGCAGATTACTTTTGTGTTTGATCTCCCTAATAGGGTTGTGCCCTATGGAGAGACAAATAAATTTTCAATGCCTGTAAACCTCACCTTCTGGGGCAAAGAGGAGAACCGAGACGCTGTGCATAATCAGATAAGACGCCATGGTTTCAAACTTGGCACTGAGTTCAAAGGTTCACTCATTTGTTTATTTGCTGCTTAATGTTCTTTGGTGAACACATAATAATTGATATTTTATTATCTTAGGGTACACAACACAAACATCTTTGGGTAGAGATCTGCTTGGTTTGTCTTCAAAAATGTCTGCCATTCCTTTGACTGTAGAAGAGGTAAATTTCATGATGTGACAGATGTTAGTTGTAAGATGTCAAGATAAATTATTGTTCGTTGTTTGGTATGCCTTTGTATGGTAAAATCTAGATCAGAGGTTGTCAGCCATTTTTTTTGTCTACACTGGACCCAAAACAGTCCCAAAAATCATGCAAAAATATTAATAATATTTAATGTAGTATGTATCATATTTTCTTTTTCCTTGCATAATTTAGTTTTATTGGATAACATAATTAGTTGCGTTTAGCATTGTTTTTCCATGCCGTTTATGACCAAACAGAGCTGCAACACACCAGTTGAGAACCACCAATCTATATGTTTATGAAGCTTTTTGCATGATTTTAATGAACTGGCTAATAAAACTTGATTTTTGTTACATCACATTAGCTGAAGAATGCCTTTGACAAGCTATTTGATGATTTAATGGAGGATAAAACCAGAGAAATGGAGCCAGCAGAGGTCAGAGCACAGAAAGAACACACAGCTGTTTTTTTTACTGTCAGTCTCATCCATCAGTCAGTTACAGATGTTTCTGTTAATGTCTGTACGTACAGGCGGTGTGCACTTCCCTGCTCCCACATCAAAAGCAGGCGCTCTCGTGGATGACCTCTCGTGAGAACAGCAACGATCTGCCCCCGTTCTGGGAGGAGAAGAGTGGCCTCTACTTTAACGTTCTCACTAACTTTGCTGTAAAGGAAAGGCCAGAGAAAGTGCTTGGTGGGATTTTGGCTGATGACATGGGGCTGGTGAGATGAACTTAGATTGGATGTTGTTCTTTTAGTGCTCAGTAAGCCCTACTAGTGCTCAGAACATTTCTGCTGTGTTTTAGGGCAAAACCCTCACCACTATTGCCTTGATAGTCTCTAATTTCCACAATGGGAAACCTCTACCACTGGAACAAAGTGTAAGATCCAGAAGTATTTCTTAAACAAATAAAGCGTAGAATTAAAGTTTTGTAATAATGGATTATTAGGACCTTGAATGTCCTGAAGCAAGAGTTTAATTATTAATATATCAAAAATATCACTTTTCAGGAAGGATCATCTTCAACTTGCAAAATGAAATCAACCTCAAAAGGTAAAAAATGTAAATCTATAAAACTGCAGTCCATTCTGAAGTGAAAACTTTAAAAAAATATATGTATTATTTTATTTAATAAGTCACGATGTGTTGCAGAACACTAACCCATACAATCGTTATGTTGTTTATTTGTGTAGACCATGAAGAATCTTATGAACCAGTCAGTTCATCCCATTTAAAAAGACTGCATGCTGATTGTGTCAGTGCTGACACCATTGAGGAAGATGTACCTCAGAAGAAAGGTTGGTTTCTATTTAGTCTTGATGCAATGCACACTACTGTTTGAAAGTTTGGGGTTGGCAAGATTTTTAAAATATTTTTAAAAGAAGTCTCTTATGCTCAAAAAAGCTGTATTTATTTAATCAAAATACAATAAAAACAGTAGTATTGTGAAATATTATTGCAATTTAAAATAACTCTTTTCTTATGTAATATATTTTCAAATGTAATTAATTAGAAAAGCTGAATTTTCAGCAGAAATCATTCTAATATGTTGATTTGGTGCTCAAGAAACATTTCTTCTTATTATTATCAATGTTAAAAACAGTTGCTGCTTAATTTTTGTTGTTGTTGTTGTTGTTGTTGTTGTTGTTGTGGAAGCCATGATCATTTTATTCCAGGATCCTTTTTTGAAAAGTTTTTAAACAAAAAATAACTGATCCCAAACTTTTGAACAGTAGTGTAAGTCGCTTTACATAAAAATGCAAAATGGAAAAATTATATTAATATTCATCAATCTGATGATTGTATCATGCTTCTTTGTGTTTCTTACAGCAAAAACCACAAAGAAAACTGTTAAAAAGCCTGCCAGCACCAAGAAAGGTACCCTTACTTCCTGTCTTTTAATTTCTCAGGTAAACTGAAAGGCAGACTTTCCTAATAGTGTAAGATATACTTTCAGTCACCGCTAACATTCCCGTTCTCTCCTTCCCAGGAGTGGTTTTGCTGGATGATGTGGACTTTGCTGCCGCTCTGGAGTGCAGTTCCTCACAGGTTGGGCCTGCAAAAAAGAGTGCGAAGAAGGGTTCTGGTGGGTGTAACGTTGACCATTTCTTCAGTTTGTTCATTACCGTATGAGAGAGTTTGACAGGAATCCATCTCTGTGGGTTGTAGGCACTGGTAAGGTCCCATCTGGAGGCAGTGGGGGCTCAGGGGCCAGAGCCACTTTGATTGTATGTCCTCTGTCTGTCCTTAGCAACTGGCTGGTGAGTGTATAAAATCTGCTCATAAAAGAGCAGTTTCTTGAAGCATTTCATTAACAAAAAAAATCAGTAACACACATTGTTCTCGTTCATACTTCATATCCATCCAGGACCAGTTTGAGCAACATATCCGAGCTGATGTCACATTAAAGGTGTATCTGTACTATGGTGCAGAGCGCTTCCGATCTGTCAAACTTCTGTCTGAGCAAGATGTGGTTCTCACAACATACAATGTGCTTTCATCAGATTTTGGGGTGAGTGGATTTAAAACACGGTCTCATGCTGTTTTTGCTGCTACAGAATACAGAAATCGGCAATGAATCACCTGCGATTTTGAACGCGATTTTGTGTAGCTTGTCAGTGATCTACGGCTCTGTGTAGTAAATGCCGCTCCATCTGAAAGCACGTGCTGGAGATTTACTACTAATCACCAGAAGCGGCTTTACTGACGAGATTCGCATGAAAATCGCATTCGATTTTTTTGCCCAGCCCTACAGAGTACCATCTGTACTAAGTTAGATGCTATTTGCACTTGTGTATATAGAGCTAGATGCTATTTATACTTAGTGAAAATAGTGGCAGATACTGTGTATTGTAGTACATTATGAAATAGTATGCAATAATACCATATTCAGTGTGTATTTAATAAAACTATAAATTGATGCTGGCCTATTGGGATATTAATTTGTCCCTATCCCTGAAGCCCACCCTTACTCCTACCCCTAACCATAATGGACCTTCTGATCAGTAAAAATTTCCTCAAACGTCCAGAAAGAGAGCAACATTTTTGAGCACAGTAAAAATATGAGCCACATGCGTCACGGCCGATATGCAGGCCATCCTATCAACGCGAGGACATCACATCCAGCCTGTTAAATACCTTTCCCCCCTTTATTAAATCGGAGTGTCTATTTACACCGAGTTCAAATAGCCCGCCTTGTTAGCAGAGGCTATTTACACTAACTCTGCCCACCAACGTGTGATTGGGGTAGTCAACAACACTACAAAAGATGACCATCAAACAACAGCTCCAGTGGCGTAGGTGATAAAATGCGTTCTGTAGCCTTTTAGACGCGATCGACCCGAGTTCGAATCTACCTTTTGCCGAACGTTTATTTCTCCCTTTTCAAATCTCATATCACATCGTAAAGACATTTATTTTAAATAAAAATGAAGGAAATAATCGAAAAGTTGAAAATAAAGTATCAGGTAGGGTAGGTGTAGGGAGGGCTTTATTGTCCCAATAAGGTGGCATCCATTTAAAAATGTTAATTAAAATGATAATTTACACTCATATCATTATTGCATACTGTTTTATAATGCACTACAATACTGAGGTGCAGATAATTGGCACTATTTGCAATAAGTAGTATATATAGCAGAATATCCTGCTATTTTAACATAATGTAAATAGTATCTATAGCTATTTTCATTTAGTGTAAATAGCATCTAATCTACATTTAGGGAAAAGGAAGAAGATTGGGATTGGAAAAAGTTGGATTCGAACTTGGGTCGGTTGCGTTAAAAACCAAATCCACTGTCTGTACTCTTCACAACACTGTCCCAGTTACTGGCTTCGTTTCTTCTGTAATTTTTGGTAAAACTAGACAATGGTTGGTGGAGTTTGTGTAAATAGCTTTCTCCAAAAAGACAGGCTATTTGCTCTTAGTGTAAATAGACACTCTGTTAAAGCTTTGGCTAGATGGTGAAATAAAAAAAAGTATTTTTAACCCACTGTAGAACAAAGCCAACAGTCCTCTGCACAAAGTGAACTGGCTGAGAGTAGTGCTGGACGAGGGTCACGTCATCAGAAACCCTAACGCTCTTCAGAGCAAAGCTGTACTGGAGCTGCAGTCAGAGCGCAGGTGGATCCTGTCTGGTACGTTCATATAAAAGCTTACATGATTACTGTCACAGTCTCAGTCCTGGATTATTTCTTCATTTCTGTGATGTTTTGCCTTTAAATACTACCAAAAGGAAGGATTATTTATCGTAATACCCATGAAGTTCATCTTGATGCCAATCATGTGAATTTTTTACCTTCAGGAACCCCCATTCAGAATTCCTTGAAGGATCTCTACATGTTGATGTCCTTCTTGAAGCTGAAGCCTTTCGATGTGAAGGAGTGGTGGAGCAGAATCATTCAGAGACCTGTGACCATGGGCGACAGAGTTGGGCTCAAGTATGTTAACAACAGCTGTGTCCCAAATCACATCCTTTCAATGCATTGAATTTTTTTTACCGTATACTGTAAATGTGTTTTCAGGAACTTGCAAGTGCTGGTAAAGGGCATCACATTGAGGCGCACTAAGAACAGTAAAGTGGCTGGGCGCATGTTGGTGCAGTTACCTGAACGGAGAGTGTTTGTGCAGCATGTGACTCTCTCTGAGGAAGAGAGGGAGGAGTACGAACAGGTCAGGAAGGAGGGCAGGAAGGTCATTGGCAGGTGGGCTCACTTTTGCCTACTTTGAAGAGCATCAGTATTACATAAAGGACAAAAAACAGAAACAATGTATTTACAGGTATTTCGAAGAGGGAACCATCATGACAAACTATGCTGATGTGCTGGCCATCCTGGTTCGTCTGAGGCAGTACTGCTGTCACCCCGGTCTTGTGGGCAAATACACAGGGGCAGGTATAAATTAGAGATTAAACAGTTGCTGATTACATTAATATAATTCTATTACATGAAATTATGATTAAATACAGATACATTCTATGCTTTAACTACTACAGCAGCAGCTCCTCAATCAGTTGTATTGTGTGTCTTTGGAGAAACAAATGTTTTGTGTGTTAGATGATCCTGGGACCCCTAGTGAGCTGCGGGAGCGTCTCATCAATAAGATCACATTGGTGCTGAACTCTGGCTCAGACGAGGAGTGCGCCATCTGTCTAGACTCCCTTCGTCAGCCTGTCATCACCTACTGCGCTCATGTGTACTGCAGGCCCTGCATCTGTGAGGTCATCCGATCGGAGAAGGTCAGCATTGTTTCAGTATCTCAGAGTTTCCCTGAAGACTCCTGATATGTATAGTCGTTTCTGGATATTATTTGTTCCTGTCTCACAGGAGCAGGCCAGATGTCCCCTGTGTCGTGCTCAGATCAAGACCAAAGAGCTGGTGGAGTATCCTGGAGAAGAAATGCAGGCTGGAGCAGCCACTGGGGAGAACTGGCGATCAAGTTCCAAAGTAACTTTAACATTTACTGATATTATGCATGTTTTTTTCCACCATGTGACTGTTACGGGCGGGTCATTCTGTGATCGGATAAAACTCAAAGACATTTATGTTGCAGAAGATTTCTATTTAAAATAAATGTTGTTCTTTTGAACTGTGTTTATCAAAGAATCACGAAAAAAATTATCACATTCTCCACAAAACTATTAATCAGAACAATTGTTTTCAACGTTGATAAGAAATGTTTCTCAAGCACCAAATCAGCAAATGAACATGATTTCTGAAGGATCGTGTGACATATATACAGGTATATATACAGTGGGTACGGAAAGTATTCAGACCCCCTTAAATTTTTCACTCTTTGTTATATTGCAGCCATTTGCTAAAATCATTTAAGTTAATTTTTTTTCCTCATTAATGTACACACAGCACCCCATATTGACAGAAAAACACAGAATTGTTGACATCTTTGCAGATTTATTAAAAAAGAAAAACAGAAATATCACATGGTCCTAAGTATTCAGACACTTTGCTCATTCGTGCAGACAGGATATGTCATCAGCGCGTTTACGCACGCTGTGCAGACAGAGCGAGAACGGCAGACAAACATCAACAACCCGATCTTCCTTCCTGGTATTGTAGTACTTTTAAAGTTTTCTCACCAGTGAATGGCACATGATGTAGCCCAGCGGTTCCCAATTCCAGTCCCTACACAGTGTTCATTGCTCCCTACTCCCTGAGCAGGGAAATCCGTTGAAGTTTACTTCACTTCGGAACATTCATTCACGGATTTGCGCTACTGTCTTCACACACAGACGAAACTTACTAGAGAAGTGTGACATAATATACCTCTGTAAATAAATACTATATATTAAATAGCGAGGACTGGAATTGGGAACCGCTGATATAGCCTATTGTAGTAATGTTGTCTCTGGTATTCTGGTCTGTGAGCGTATGTGCGTTCAGGGGTCGTGGCTTTGGACGGCGATTGCAGGGAGGGTGGGACGTTTGCTTTCAGTGCTATCAGGCTAAAGTTAGCATTTTCCAAGATCTCCTATTGCACCTTTAAGGCTGAAGGAAATTTAAATTCATGTCTGTACAGTAGAGGGCACAGCTCAAACAAATTGCATGAAGAATATGACACAGGAGAAGAAAGTTCAACACTATTCAGCAATAACAAAAATGAAACACAACTGTGTCATTTTTGCTTAGTATGGTTGAATTGGATCATTGAAGGTCAGTAGCAAAGACATTGGTTAATAAAATGGGATTAAATACATGAATGATATTAGTCTTATTTAACATATTTAATTATTGTAGGTTTGTATAATATTTTGAGTTTGCATTTGACTGTTTTTATTCATTTTGAGGAATACTGAATCTGTTTTTGTGCAGGTTAGATGGGTAAATACATGTTCATATTTAGTCTAGAACTACAGTAAGATCATGTTCACACACAACGCTCTGCACTTACTCCTGATTTCTGTCACCATGGCAACACCAGAGCTGTCACTCAACTCAATACATGGGAAACAAAGTAACTGGTGTTACTTATTCGAAAAAGTAACTCGGATATTTCCTTCTAAATTAAAAAGTAATGCATTACTTTACTAGTTACTTAAAAAAAGTAATCTGATTACATAACTTGCTTTATATGTAATGCCTTACCCACAACACTGTATATATACCGTATAGGTAAACAAACAAAACTGGGAAGTGGTTTCAGAGCAATCAAAAAAAAATAATTATGAGATGGGTAAACCGACACTTTTTTAGTTTCTTGAGGCTAAAGGGATTTTAGTTTTGGTCATTGAGTAGCCATATTTCAGTAATTTGCTTTTCATTATGCAGGTGGATGCTTTGATGAGCAACCTGTTGAAGCTCCGCAATGAAGACCCCACTGTGAAGAGTCTTGTGGTTTCTCAGTTTACCAGGTTTATGGATCTTATAGAGGTTCCCTTGAGGTAGTTTTCATTGCTGAGGCTACTATAAACTACAGACTGTACTACATACTGAAAGAAGTAGCCATTAGTGGTCCAGTGTGCTGACACTGCTGCTGTCTGCAGGGAATATGGATTCTCTTTCACACGACTGGATGGCTCTATGGCTCAGAAGACCAGAGCAAAGGCCATTCAGGATTTTCAAGACTCCTCTCCAGGAAGTCCCACCATCATGTTACTGTCACTCAAAGCTGGAGGGGTTGGGATTAATCTGACCGCTGCTTCCCACGTCTTCATGATGGATCCAGTGAGTTAAATTCTCCCAGGATAGTGTCTGCCGCTAGGTGGCGGTAATGTCATTGATTGTGTGTGTGCAATTATCTGTAATGGGGAATGAATTGACTCTTTGTATTTGTGTTTTTTTTTGTCTTCTATTTGTTCAGGCCTGGAATCCTGCAGCAGAAGATCAGTGTGTTGACAGATGTCATAGACTGGGCCAGAGCAGAGATGTGGTGATCACTAAGGTACAGTATTTGATTTATGCCATGGCAGGCGCGCAGAGGAATGATAGCGGCTGATCCCAACGGCTATTATTACACGCTTTGCGTTTTTCTCTGTGGTAAAAGACAGTGCCAACAAATGTAACAGAACATGATATTAATGGCTTCCTTATTAATTAATGACTATAACTCTTCACATTAATGAGGGCGCGTTCATTCCTTTCATACAGGTTCCAAATCTGTATGACTTTTGTGTTCCACTGAAGAAAATCAGTCATACAGGTTTGGAACAACATGTGGGTGAGTAATTGATGACCATTTTCATATTTGGGGTGAATCTTACCCTTAAGAACTAGTTAAACAGTTGTATTAAAGGGACAGTTCAGTGGTGGTTTACTTCTGCTTTTGGTAACCATTAACTTTATTGCCAAAAGAGACATTTCTCAAAATATCTGTGGTGTTCTGAAGTGATGACAGGATTTTTTATTTTTGGGTCAGCTATCCATTTAAGCATTTTTCAGTTATATACGATTCAAAATGAACCAAGAACCATTAATTACATTTGTGAGACCTCAACTGTCATTAAACCTATAACTAACTGAAATTCATTAGTGTTTTCATCTAAAGTTGTAAGTTTAACTTGTGTGGAAAATTTGAATATCGGATAAAACATTTGCACTGTTTTCATCCTGTGTTCAAACAAAATCGTCACAAGTTACTAATAGTTTTAATAAAATATTAGTACAAGGCACATTCACAACAGTTCTGTTGTAAATAAATGCTATTGTAATAAAAACTCATATTGTCCAGTACAGTGGTTCCCAATCCTGGGCCCCGTTCTTCGTACGTCGCTTATTACATCCGAGATGAAATGTCACATCCAAGATGATATCATCGCGCTAATCAGGATCTGGCTAATTCGGTTCTTTTAGTACAGTGGTTCCCAATCCTGGGCCCCGTTCTTCGTACGTCGCTTATTACATCCGAGATGATATCATCGCGCTAATCAGGATCTGGCTAATTCGGTTCTTTGAACGCACCTGTTGTTGATGATTAGTATGGCTGGATTGAGTTATCTGAGATAATTGCGCGTTCATGGGTTGGTTTAAAAGGGGCTATGTATCGATACTCGAAACCACGATCAGCAATGCAGAGATTGGCTGGCGGCAAGACAGCAACATAATGACATCATATAATTAAAAAAGACACCTGACGAAAAACTTGACCAATTTCTGGACTTTTATAAGGAAACAGCCAAACGAACAAAACTAAATGTTATAATAGATAAATGAAATATGCACTGTTTTTATTTTAATTTTTTACATGATTCCAAATTTACATTATCTATATAGCATGCGTGTAAGACTAATACAATTATTAAGTAATAATTTTATGACGAATAAATTTTTCAGTGAGTAAAACTGGCTGTGTCTGTAGTATTAAAGACTACACAACATTATTATATTATCTTTAAATTAATTTTTAAATGATCATTATTTTAAATTATTGTCCCTGAATTAGTAGGGTACCCTTGTAATAAATTAGCGGTGGTAGCGGACAGATTTTAAGTATCAATTCAGCTTAAAAAGATGCAATCTAATCCTGTTTACATTAAATAAGCCTGCGGACCTGTTGCTATGACAGCAACTCCGGGATGAGCTTCGAAGAACCAAAGAGACATCTAAAATGTGCAGTGTTGGGGGTTCTCCAGGACCAGGATTGGGAACCACTGGTCTAGTATACTGAGGCCCAACTGTAAGGTAGAATTGACTGAAAGAACTTTTTCAAACTGTCACTCAGTTTTAGAAATATTCAGTCACACTTTATTTTAATGTCCAATTCTCGTTATTAACAAACCATTAACTATAACTTTTGTCTCAAACTCCTAATTTGCTTTTTAATAACAGTTAGTAAGGTAGTTGAGTTTAGGTATTGGCTGGGAGTAGGAATGTAGAATATGGTCATGCAGAATATGTGTTTGTGTCTTTTATAAGCACTAATAAACAGCCAATATGTTAATAATAGGCATGCTAATAAGCAACTAGTTAATTGTGAGAATTGGTTCGTATACTAAACATTACCGAATATTCTCACAAAAGAGTGAAATTTACTTTGGCACATTACAATTTTTAGACTGACAGCATCAAATGATGTACTGTATTGTATGAGTATAGTGGTTGGCCTTTCAAGACCGGAAGTTTGCAATTGATGACTCTTTCCTCTCTGTGGCTGCATTTAGTTTATTGTGACAGACTCTGTGGAGGAGAACATGGTGAAGATTCAGAAGAAGAAGCAGGAGCTTGTGGACAAGGCTTTCGGAGTGAAAAAGCCACAGGACCTAAAACAGGCTCGGATGGAGGAGATCCGAGCCCTAATGGAGATTTAGATTTATTAAGATAACTTTACTGCTGTCCGTTCATTTCAGAGTAATTGCTTTATTAAAGACAGCACTTTTTTTTTTTTTTTTACTTTATTACAAATTACGTTTTTTTTTTTTTTTTTTTTTTTAAAGTTTTATCTTTTGGGCTTTTTTTTCC